GGGGGGGGAGAGAGAAAGAGAGAGAACCGGTGGGGGAAGGGCAGAAAGAGAGGGAGACACAGACTCTGAAGCAGGCTCCAGGCTCTAAGCTGTCAGCACAGAGCCCAATGTGGGGTTCAAACCCAGAAACTATGAGATCATGACCTGAGCCGAAGTTGGACACTCAACTGACTGAGCCACCTAGGTACCCTGACAGTAAATTTGTTTAATAAGTGGATGTATTTATTCATTTAGGAATCGTTTTATTAAGATTTTATTTACCAGGTACTTCAGAGATACCAAATGACCATGTGAAGGCCTGTGTCCACAATGAACACACAGTTGTGTGCAGGAGAGTTGCAAACCATTACTAATGCAAGGTGATCCATGATATTGGTGCTACTATAGCATTGGAAGAAAGAATGAACCCTCAATCTATTTGGGGGATTTGGGGAAGCTACATAAATGTAGTAAGGTTAGCACTGAGTCTTCAAGGAGACCTAAATTAGTTGGGGTGCATAAATAGGAAAAAGCATTTTAGGCAAAGAAATCAGTTTGAGCAAAGACTTGGGAGTGACAAAGTATATGGCTGGTTCAAAAGCCCCAAGAAGTTTAGGAGCAAACAAAACCAGGAGTATGTGTGGAAAGAGGGATAGCAGCCCAGGAGGCTTATTCTATGTGTCTATAGATCACATCAAAGGGATAAAGAAGTCAACTCTAAGGTGTGCCACTAGCCTAACAGGATAATTTGAGCATCATAAATAATAATGGATTAAAACTCATCAGATATGTAAAATGTATGCATTGCTAATAATAACTAAACAAAACCTTACTGGTTAACATTGGAGGTTGCTAGGGGACCAACTAATTTCTCTGAAATTTTATAATTAAAGTGAAAAAGCCCAGCATTTATCACGCCTTTCCTCTAGGATCCCTGTATTTCATGATAACCAGAGCTGGTGAGAGAAAGTTTATAGAAGAATCCCAGGTAATAAAATCATTCAAAGTATTAGAAATCTATTGTTCTAGGATAAGACTTAAGAGACATACCAAAATGCAGTGTGAAGACTTTTTTTTTTATGCTTTTAATGGGAAAAAAAACCCCCAACTATTAAATGATATTTTGGATTCAGCCAAGTTAATTTGAATATGTATTGAGTATTAGATGATACAAAGGAATTACTAATTTTGTTACATGTGATAATGGTGGTGAAGTTAAGAAAATCCGTGTCAGTTTGAGATGCAGATTAATTTAAGGGTAAAATGTCTGGGATCTGTTTCAAAATAGTTAAACACGGAGCAGGCGAGGGGATGAAACTAGATGGGCAAAATGTTAATTGTTGATTCTTGGTGATGAGTCCGTGAAGGTTATTAAAAGTGGATTTACCTTTGCCTATGTTTAAAATTTTGCTTAATAGTTTTAAAAGCAGAACAAGCGCTGCGGAAAGGGGATGTCGGAAATGAAAAACCTAAACTATACTAGAAGATTGAGATTTCCCTGGGATTTCCGAAAGAGTTAAGAATTTTAATGGTCAAATCTCTGCTGGATTTGAAGAGCAGCCAGAGGCGAGGGCCCAAGGAGGGCGGTCGAGGGCTCGCGGTACTCTTGTAAGTGCACTGAGAAGTGAGGACGCCCTTCCCCACCCGGCACCCTTCCCTCCTCAAGCCCGCCCTTCTTTTCCATCCTTCTTCTCTCCCCACCCCACACACCCTTTTACGCTCCTCCGCGCTCTCCTTTCCCCACTTCCTTCCCTTCCTGCGTCTCGCCCCGCCCCTCCCTTTTCTTCACCCTACTGGTCCTTTCCCACACAATCCCCGCCCTTCCGTTCCAAGCCCCTCCCCGCGCATTCGTCCGGACCATCCTCTCCTGCTCCTCGCCCCGCCCCTTCTCTCAGCGTTCTGGCGGAGGTTACCATAGCTGCCGTGCGCACAACAGCTAGGCTTTTCTAGTTGGTCCCCGGCTGGCCGGAGGGAAGAGTCGACACCATGAACCATGTAGTGACTATCGAGGAGCCCCAGGCCAACCCGCAGGTGTCTCAAACCCGGTGCGGGGTGAAGTCGGGGACCTGGGGCAACGTCTCCTCCAGTCGACCATATGATTTTCTGTACGGTAAGGGCGGCACCGGACCTCCCTCCAGAGTTGTCGACTCCTGGCCTAGGTGGGCTTTGGGTCGGTGATACCCGGCTAAGGGGCGAGGTGAACGGGAGACCAGCCTCGGGACGATCCCCTCACCACGGTTATCCTTTGTTGGGTGAGAGCAGCGCAGAGCTCCCCAGGTGGCGGTGCTCCTGTGCGCGCGTCGGAAGCCTCAGGTGCGCTCTGCGTCTAGGAGGAACACCGCGGGCAATCGCTTTACTGTCCCCACCGTCTTTTCTAGATAGTCTGCACAGCTTTAAGCAATCTTTCTGAAATCTGTACCGGGTGTTTTGTTATCCAGAAATGTATGCAATGATTTAGCAGACTTGGAGATTCACTCAACATTCCCTCATTCTAATTGTATGAAGTGCCAGACAAAAATGACCTTCCCTTTCCCATTCTCTGGGCAACTCCAAATTTGGCTTTGTAGATAAAGAAGTACCAGTTTATCTCGGCTTTGTTTTCAGTTTTCTCTCTTTCTTTTAAAACATTGTTATTTATCAAAGCACTGCTTATAAACTAGGTCCACTGTGTTCCTTTGGATCAGTAAAGCCCCAGTTTATTTTAATGCCCAGCTTGCCCGTTTATGTTCTGTCTCTTCTACTGGACCTTAAGTTTTTTAAGTTCTTGTTTAACACATTTTTGCAGCCTTCTCAGCACCTATTCCAGTGTTGGTACATTTTTTTTCCCCGATTTTGCCCTCAGCAGTCCCATGCTTTTCACCTGAACCTTGCATTGCTTTTAACCGTGTGGTATCTCCTCTGGGATTCCCAGGATCTTCTTTCACTGGGAATCAATAGGTTACCCATTTCCTGGTATAGGGGCTTTGTAATGGTTGCTTACATATTCTGGCCTGTGGTTTTCTTTATTCACTCTTGGTTTCGTCTTGTAAAATAAATCTAGTAAACCCTCGTAAACACACCATGTTTATTTCAAAAGTAATTTGAGAATGGGATATACTTATTTAGTAAAGACAGGCAAATAATTTATCAAGTTTCCTCTTTTATCCTTAAAAGTCTCTCCCCCCCCCCCTTTTTTTTCTGCAGGGGGTTACTAAATGTTTCCGTGTCCCTTGCAAGGAACAGAAACCCACTCAAAATAGGCCAAATAAAGTTTGGATTCTTCCAATTAGACGGGCAATCTCACGTCTATTAATGGACAGGAAGCATAATATAGCCAGGACAAAGTAGAACCAAGACAGGGAAGGTCAGAACTAAGGTGTAGTGCCCTTCTGCTTGATTTCTTGGACCTATTTTTTTTTTTAACCTTGTTTAGGTTGTCAGATTTAGCAAGTAAAAATACAGGATGTGCAGTTAAATTTGCATTTGAGATAAATAACAAGTAATATTTTAGTCCCATGCAATATTTGGGATCTATTTATATAAAAAGTTATTCATTGCTTACATGAAATTTAAATTTAACTGAGGATCCTGTATTTTATCTGGCAACTCTAACCCTGCTTTTTTCTGTGCATATATGTGTCCTTCCATCTGACAGAAAGCCACTTGTTTATGGATTTCTTTTACTATGACAGGGACTGGGGTGGCAGTCTACATGGCCTCTTATCCTAAATAAAGCTCACCTGTGAGTCCTTGTGTATCTTAGCTGAAAATTGGAGAAATGAGATATGTTCTTGACCAGCCAATGAGTTGACTGGCTTGGGTCAGATTTCCATCCTGACAGAAAGAACTGCAGTGGGTGGGTGTTGTGGTCAGTGATACACACACATAAGCACATTTCCAAGTTTTTTCACCCTTCACCCACCCACACCCCTCAAACCCAATGGCCTTTTCACCATAGTTAATTGTCTGCAAGGCTTTTGCTCCTCCAAGAAGCTTTGGGTGTCTTCATTAAATGTAATTTTTACTTCTCTGATCACTCTAGCAATTAAGGTTAATTCAGATACATTTGTAAAGTACTTTAGAGTTAACATCATTTTTTATAGATCATACCTCATTTGTATACCATTTTGCAGTTTCCTCAATTTTTTGCTAAATGTTTTGTGTCTCTCAAATGTCTAAGTGACCATCATATGTTATCACTTTCCTGAATCTAAATTTGTTGATGGATTAGTAGCTACACTATTGCCCTGATAGTTAAAGCCTTTTAAATATATGATCCATTTAATTTTTCTAGCTTCCAAAAATGTTTTAAAATGCTTTCTAGGTTTATCATAAGCTCTTTCTTGCTATCTTTTCCCCCAGAATATGCAATTTATTATGCCTTTCCCTAAAGGTAATCATTATGTCTTGGGGTTTGAAACACTTCCTGTCTCTTATGATTACTTGGTGTGACAACTTCCTAGGCTTATTAGAACAGTTTCTACAAGATGGGTAAATTGGCTGAGGGGCTTTCTCATGATTTCCATGAGAAACTTTTCCCTGTAAAATTCATGGGCTTTTGATAATGTAAGGCCTGGGAGCCAGAAGAATTGGAGTTCACATTCTAACTGTTCCATCCGTAAGTGGCTAACTTCTTGAAGCCTCAGTTTCCTCACCTATAAAATGGAGGCCTAGTGCCTACCTCATTGGGTTTTTGTGAGGATTAAATGGAATATTGCACATAAAGCACTTAACACTCGTGTAAGAATAAGCAAGTGATGCCTGGTGAGTGCCATTACCTCGGCATCTCAGGGGTCTTTCTATTGCCTTTGAGCAATGATTATGATCACAATTGTAGGGTATGTCACAGAATGTGTAGTCATAAATCACATAGTATTGTGTAATTATCTTCTATAGATGGCAGGAATGTTTCTATAGATCATGTCTTCATACTCCTTATAGGAATAAGAGGAGAATGGTTTATAATTTATTATTTAGAGTTAGGGGAAATGCAGGCTAAATTCACTTAAGATGAACAACACAGTTGGAACCATAGGCCCAGTGACATCTTTTAAATCACTTAAAAAAAGAATACGAATAGAAGTTTCCCTTCGTCCGATGCTATTCCCAATATATTAGACGTGTTGAAGCTATAGCCTTCTTCCCTTTAAACAGGTGCATTCGTCCTGCCTTCAAATTCACTAGTCTGTAATTTTAGGCCATAAAATTTGGCCTTGCCCTTCCTAAATCAGCCCAGTTTCCATCACCTTCTCAACTTGAGTCATAGAGGTGGATTTGGGTGATGAAGCTAAAGAAGATAATATCTAAAGGTGATGATTCCCAAGTTTGTATCACAGGTCCAGACTTTATCCCAAACTGTAGATTTGTATATGAAATTGCCTACTTTATATCTCCACTTGGACACATAATAGATACCTAAGCATGCTTTCCTAATGTTCAAACTTGCTCCACCACAGGTTTTCCTGTATCAGTTGATACCAACCCCATACTTTAGCTGCTGAGGCCATCATGTTTCCTCTCTCTCTCTCTCTCACACCATTCCAACACATTAATAAGTCCCTTCTGTTCCACCTTAAAAATATATCTAGAATCCTGCCCTATTTCATCACTTCTGTTGCCACCACCATGGTGCAAACCAACATCATATCTCTTCTCTAGGCTTATTGCAGTAGCCTCCTAATAGGTCTCCCTGCCTCTTCCATTGCTTCCGTGAGGTCTGTTCTTCATGGGCAACCACAATGAACATTTTAAAATGTAAGTGAGATTTTATCGCTTCTTGGCTCAAAATCTTGCAGTGGTTCCCCACTTTACTCAGATGAAAGCCAAATTCTTTTCAGTGGCTCACAAAGCTCCCTGTGATGTAGGCCCTGGGTAACTTCCCTGACCTTTTCTCTATTATTTTTTCCCTCTCTCACTGTGTTTCAATCATGTTGGTCTCTTTGCTGTTCTCCAAACATGTCGGGCATGCCGCTGTCCTAGGGCATTTGCTCTAGCTTTTTCTCTGCTTCAAACTCTCTTCCTTCAGATAACTGTATAGTTAACTCCCCACTTGCAAGTCTCCTTAAATGTCACCTTCTCAGTGAGGCCTGCCTTGACTACCATGTGTAAAATTGCAGCCCCATCTCCCTTAGCTGTTCTTTCCCCGCTTTTTTTTAGTAATACTACCCTCTAACTCTAACGTATTATATAATATGCTAATTTGTTATGTTGTTATTATTGTCTTTCTCTCTCATGAAGTCAGGGATCTTTATCTTTTTGTTGATGTGTTCCAAGCACCTTGAACATAGTAGTCAGTCAATAAATCTTTCTTGAATGAAAGAGAGCTTGAGCCTCTTATAGCTTTTGAACCTTGGGGGGAATATTAAATGTCTGTTTCCAGTATATCATTTTTGTTGGGTAACTGAGGAATTACTAGACTCTAGGAACTGACTCACATTATCTAAATTAAATTTAAATTAAATTACTTATAAATCACCATACCAGCATATTAGAAGAAATATGTTACCAAGTCATCTAGACTAGTTGGTCAGGTATTTGTTTCTTAAGAGATGTGTACTTGGGAAATCAAGTCTGTTTCTGAATAGACTTGCTTATGAATTTAATGCCATACTGTTTAATTTTAAGGGATGGTACAATAAAGCTTGAATAAATCACTTTAAAGATGTATCTAACAAGCACATACTTAAAATAATGGCAATCTTTTGTCGAACTTTGGAGAAAAATTTAGTCCTGTCATCAACATACTTACAGATTCAAGGAGTGAATTATAGCTGATTTTATTTATCTCTTGTTAGACAATGACATTTACTTACTACATTTATCAATTCTGAGGTACCATGTTGTGAAGAGTTTGTATCTTTCTTTTGTCCTGAATAGGGGAAGTAGTGCCCAAATGTGTTATTTCTTTCACTTGCAGATGGGTGTAGTGAGTGTATACATGGTCTTTCATCTTAGAGTATTTCCTGGCCTATCCAGACCCAGAAAGTGGTTTGTTCATAGGAGAGAAGACCGCATGTTTAAGCTCTGGTGCTTGAGAACTTATTAGGCCTTCTTTTTGCCTTCCATTTCTATAAACTGACTTTGGAATACATTGAAAAGAGATGAATCTAATAGACTCTCACTGGTGGTAGAGTAACAGGGCTGTGAGTTGCTACAGATTTAGGCAGTATCTAGTTTTTATAATTTGTTTCCCAATTAAGTAATTACATTGTTTTGCCATTATTCTCAGCCCAGGAGTATGTTCTATTCCTTATACTACCTTATTGCTTATTTTGCAGACCCATTGTTTATTGTGTCAAGTGAGAAAGACCACACACAGGCAAATATCCAAGCTAACCTGATTCGAAACAGACTGGTAGGTCTAATTCATTCACTAAGGCAGCCTGATGAACTTGAACCATCTAGTTTTACTGACTGCACTGATCAGATTAACTAGTCATCAGATCTCCAGTGGATTTTATATTCTGCAGAAATTACTTTGTCATGACTCCTAGGGGACAAGGCATCTTGATACTTGTGGCTCAGTGTGAGTATTAATTAATAGTGAATAAAGGATTCATTATAACCTAATTTATTTCAGTGGGGAAAGTAACGTATGCCTGTGTTAAAAGAATTCAAGTAGTACAAAAGCGTATATAGTGTGAAGTAAATTTTGACCCTCAGGCCCCTTCTCGTAGTCATCTATTATCAGTTTCTTGGGTATCTTTCTAGAGATAGTCTGTGCATATACAATATCTCTTCTTTCTATGCCACATTCACTGTTTTGTACCTTTAAAAAAAATTTACAATAATAAATAAAATGCTTTAGAAAATCTGATGGTAAAATTTTGTCCTTTTCTTCCCTACCTCCCTGTCTTAATATTAGAGAAAAGTTCCCAGGTTTAGAACCATGTTCAGTAACCTGATTCATTATCCAAGATATTCTCTGTATTGGAGCAAGGCAGACCCTGTCCCACCATTCATCCGTCAGGAATGGAAGAGACATGAGGAGAAACACAGAGAAGCCCTCTGGCACCTTGCCATGTAAGTGTCAGGTAGCTTCAGTTGCTACTCATGTTTTTAATGAATTTATTTTTCTTCTTAAAATTTTTTATTCTTCATTTTTTGAAAGTACAATTGTGATGTTATACCTAGGTTGATTGACCCCCAATTCTCTCTCTTAACCCCTCTACCTAGTGGGGGGGCTGGGTGGCATAGTCATTTAAGTGTCTGACTTCAGCTCAGGTCATGACTTCGCAGTTCATAGGTTTGAGCCCCGCATCGGACTATGTGCTGACAGGTCAGAGCCTGGAGCCTACTTTGGATTCTGTGTCTGCCTCTCTCTGCTCCTTTCCCGCTCACACCCTGTCTGTCTCTCTCTCTCTCTCTCTCTCTCTCTCTCTCTCAAAAGTAAATAAACATTGAAAAAAATATGTTAACCCCTCTACCCAAAACAAGCCTGATTTAGGGGCAATGGTTATAGGTTTATAAGTTAGTAGATATTCTCAGAACCTTGGAGTGAATATATATATTAAATAACAACTTGCCAGCAAAGGTAGAGGGGGCTGAATTTGTTGTTTCTTTGATCTATCTTAGAAATTGCAACTATACCTTTCTGCTAGTATCTAAATATATATTTTTGGAGACTTACAGCCAAAGCACCTTCAGAGATAAGTCTCTTGAATTCTTTATTCTTTCAATTATTTGAGTCAAACTTAGTAAATTTTAAAAAGCTACCTTTCAGCATGGACATAAAAAATTGTCTCTTAAAACTCTGTTATTCCTATGTACTATTAATTAAAAGTGTGCATTTTTGTATGTGGGATAGCCTATGTCTATTCTTTTCTTACTCTTACTTCCTCTTGTTGGTTCCTGGCTTCCTGGCTCAGGGAAAGTAATTACAGCAAAACCTTGGTTTGAGAGCATAATTCATTCTGGAAACACGCTTGTAATCCAAAGCACTTGTATATCAAAGCGAATTTCCCCATAAGAAATAATGGACATTCAGACGATTAGTTCCACAACCCAAAAATATTCATATAAAAATGATTACAATACTGTAATATAATATAAAATCGTAAGGAAAATACAAAATATAAAGAAAAGTGAACAAATTAACCTGCACTTACCTTTGAAAACCTTCATGGCTGGTGTGAGGGAGACAAGAGAGAGGAGGGTTATTGTGTAGGATGACTTTCACTAATGGAATCACTGCTGTCTCTTGGCTCAGTGGAATCTTTTACTGCATGGGCACCATTGTATACACTCACATGGATATTGACTACAGTACAGTATTAATAAACTCTTTGTCATTTACTATATTTAATGTAACTGGTAATAAGGCAGCAAAGGAAAGGGTCTTTATCTGCAGGCAACCTGACCTAGAATGAAGCAAAGCATTCCTAGGCTTACTCTTGTATGGAAAAGCAAAGGACTGTCCATAGGTGCTTTGAACTTTTTTTTTTAACGTTTATTTATTTTTGAGAGAGAAAACATGAGTGGGAGAGGGGCAGAGAGAGGGAGACACAGAATCTGAAGCAGGTTCCAGGCTCTGAGCTGTCAGCACAGAGCCTGATGCGGGGCTCGAACTCACAAACTGTGAGATCATGACCTGAGCTGAAGTCGGACGCTTAACCGACTTGAGCCACGCAGGTGCTACTGTCCACAGGTGTTTTGAAGTGACAAGAAAATACCAGTGTCAGTTGTGGGCACCTTCCAACATTCTGAAAAATCACTGATTTCTGCCAAACACCATGGCCTGAGACTGAACAGCTGAGCATGGAAGAGGATCACCCACAGCCCCGCAGTGAGAGAGAGAGAGAGAAGAACCATTGGCTCAGTTGTGATCATGTGACATTTGTCATCTGGTACCTCTTGTATTGCAAGACATTGCTCATGTATCAAGTAAAATTTGTTAGAAATGTTTGCTTGTCTTACAGAACACTCACAGAACAAGTTACTCACAATCTAAGGTTTTACTGTATTATCTAGTCTGAGATGTAGGTCAGTCAGATGCATGTTAGAGAAGACTTTGCTCTCAGTCTCAGATACCCTGTGTATCTCCTACTTTATAGACATAAAAATATGAAATAGAAATGTTTGGAAATGACATGTTAGACTTTAATAATGTTCTCCTGCTTCATTTTAGAACAGATACATCTTTTCAGATGGCCAAAGAGGTTTATGCAGATCCTGAAGTAACTGGAAAGAATCGCTATAAATACTTTGAAAGGTAAAAGTAATTACTAATGAAAATGAGCCCTGGTATTTTTAGAGAATGTCTTTATGATAATGATACCAGCTGTCACTTCTGAGTGCATGCAGTGTGCCAGGCACCAATTTAAGTGCTTGATATATATAATCAATTTTTACAACAGAAATATAGGATAAGATATATTATCCCCATTTATCAGTAAGGAAGCTGAGACCAAGACAGGAGAAGTAAATTGCTTGAAGTCTCTTAAGTTAGTAAGTGGCAGATCTGGGATTTCCAGCTAAATCTGCCTGACTTCAGAGCTATTAGCTGTAAATAGGAACGTATATTTGAGAACAAAATGAAGTCATCAAATCAAGTGAGATGCAGCAGAGACACCATGACAGTCATAGTACATGGGCAATTGTTATAAGTGGACACGTAGGTGACGTTTGCTATCTGTTGTGTGAATGTTGCCAAAACCAACATGGTTGAAAGTTTCACTTCATTTCATTTGTGATTAATGCTCATGTGATATCCATATAGTCAAATTAAAATGAGGATCTCCCTGTAGGTTTTATGTGGTTAGAAAAATAATCTTGTGTCCATCAACTGATGAATGGATAAAGAAATTGTGGTTTATATACACAATGGAGTACTACGTGGCAATGAGAAAGAATGAAATATGGCCCTTTGTCGCAACATTCATGGAACTGGAGAGTGTTATGCTAAGTGAAATAAGCCATACAGAGAAAGACAGATACCATATGGTTTCACTCTTATGTGGATCCTGAGAAACTTAACAGAAACCCATGGGGGAGGGGAAGAAAAAAAAAAAGAGGTTAGAGTGGAAGAGAGCCAAAGCATAAGAGACTCTTAAAAACTGAGAACAAACTGAGGGTTGATGGGGGGTGGGAGGGAGGGGAGGGTGGGTGATGGGTATTGAGGAGGGCACCTTTTGGGATGAGCACTGGGTGTTGTATGGAAACCAATTTGACAATAAACCTCATATATTGAAAAAAAAAGAAAAAAATCTTGATATACATACATAGGCTTCCTTGAGAAAGTAAATTTGTAATCTGCATTGTTATTTGTGAGCATCCTCCTTATGGAAGTTATGTGATGCTGATTTTTCAGAGAAATGTTAAATTTTTAACATGGTATACTCAATTTCTAGACTTTCTGGGGGTAGTTTTTAAAACTAAATCACTGGGAATTTCAGAATGTCTCAAGGAAGTGGGATCTAATGACCAACTGAAGTCCAGGTAGAAGGCATCACTTCTGAAAGTGTGGCTTCTTTACCATCTTCAGAGAAAACATCAGAGTGTTTATTAAAAATGCAGATTCATTAGCTCTACTTTAAATGTACTGAGTCTCCTGGGCTAGACCTGGTAATTTGCATTTTAAACAAAAATCTCCCCACTGCCCAGTGATTTTGTGTTTGCCCAGGTTTGCGGATTACAGATTTATGGGATATTCAAGCTCACTGATTTTAAGGGACGAATCTGAGAGTTGGAATAAGGCACAGAGAGCACACAATGCATAAGTCCCACATGTTTGTGTCCTTCTTTCTCCCGCCAGGCCTTTCCTTCCATTTCATCAACAGATGCCACTTAATGTCGTTTTTGCAGTAACCAAGTAAGTAGCCATTATTTTAAAACTTTTTTTCTAGTTTATTTGCTGTTTGTTCCCATGCTTATTTCCAGAAGATAGTTCTCTAGATCAATATTTTTCAAATTCTGGATCACAAATCATTCGAAAGTCATGAAATATTTTAGTGGGTGATGAACAGCATTTTAGAAAACAAAATTGAATAGAAAATAACCAAAAGCATCAGGGTAAATTGCTTTTTTGCTTATAACTTTTGTTTTGGATAGGTACATACATACATTCGTATGTAATGGTTATGATGTAAAATGTATTTCTTCTTATTATGAGTTATGGTAAAAATAAAAGTTTAAATATCCTTTTTACTTACCTGAAACACACACTTATTTGGCAACAGTTCTTCAACATTTTATCAAGAAAATGAATCAGTCATGAAATAGGTTTTGAATACTGGAACTTCATAATTTAATAATCATCTAAGCTATACAAGTTAATTTAATATGCAAAGATCAGGGGCACCTGGGTGGCTCAGTGGGTTGAGCATCCGACTTCAGCTCAGGTCATGATCTCAAGGTTCCCGAGTTCGAGCCCTGTGTTGGGATCTGTGCTGACAGCTCAGAGCCTGGAGGCTGCTTTGGATCCTGTGTATCCCTCTCTCTGTGCCCCTCCCCTACTCATGCTCTATCTGTCTCTGTCTCTCAAAAATAAAAAATAAAAATGTTTAATATGCAAAGATCAATAAAACATGGTTTCTGTCCCAAAGAGGATTGGACCAAGGTAAGAGAGAAGTAAAGGATAAGAGCCGAATCTGGGATTAATGTCCAGTTTCCTAGTCTTTTGTTTTAGGGCTATACTGTTTTTGCTATTACTGTTTCCTGTGTCAGTATAACTTAATGTTTGTCTGAGAGAAAAAAATGAAATGATCAGGAAAAGAAACCTTTTTTAAGGTCTCAGATTTCTGAATCGTAATTTAGATAGGGCTTGCCTTTCAAACAAGCATTTAAAGGATATGGTTACCCCTTATTATATAGCATTTTATGAATAGAATATATGTTATCAAATGTTTGTAATCCTTAAGATAAATGCCAGTTATGATCCCAATTCTCCTTTGATGTTTTTAAGACTGCATGGATACCTATGGCTCTTACATAGATGGAGAATAGATTTCTTTCTTTCCCCCTTGACAGAGCAACTTTGTGTGGTTCATTTTACCCAAGGACAGCTGCAGACTTGTTTTTAGTGAAATGTTTTATATGAGCAAAGGGAGAGATATGAGACCAGTAGATCCCTAAAGATACCTTTGATAATACTTTAAATGTAGGCTCACTGGATCATCTACTTTGGAGGTCATAATTACATCAGGTTTAAAAGTTGTTCATTTAATTATGGGGAGTTCTGAGGTCTACAGTCATGAACACTGGGCCTTTTCACTTCTTTTCTAAATTAACTGTGACATGAGGGATTTCCTATAACAAACTTTGACAGTTGACATCTTAGATAATCTCTGTCCTTCTTAGAAGTTTTTAAAGAATCAATCAGTATCCCTGAATGAAGTCAGCTCTGGAATTATGGCCGTGATGAATTTCTGAGCAGTGAGGATAATTCCACCTTATGTTAGTAGGGATGGACTTGTCTGGGGACCAGCTGGCCTTCTCCAGCCATACCCTTTTCATGTTTAGCTGTTGGAGTCTTTACTTACTCATTCTATGAAGCTAGCATTACCTTGATTCCAAAACCAGACAAAGACCCCACTAAAAAGGAGAACTATTGGCCAATATCCCTGATGAACGTGGATGCAAAAATTCTCAACAAGATACTAGCAAATCAAATTCAACAGTATATTAAAAGACTTATTCACCATGATCAAATGGGATTCATTCCTGGGCTGCAGGGCTCATTCAGTATTCACAAATCAATCAATGTGACACACCACATTAATAGAAGAAAGGATAAGAACCATGTGATCTTGTCAATAGATGTAGAAAAAGCACTTGACAAAATACAGCATCCTCTCTTAATAAAAACCCTCAAGTAAGTTGGGATAAAAGGAACATACCTTAATGTCATAAAGCCATATACAAAGGGCCCATAGCTAATATCATCCTCAGTGGGGAAAAACTGAGTGCTTTACCCCTGAAGTCAGGAACATGACAGAGATGTCCATTCTCACCACTGTTGTTCAACGTAGTGTTGGAAATCCTGGCCTCAGCAATCAGACAACAACACAAAATAAAAAGCATCTGAATTGGTAAAGAAGTCAAATTGGCACTCTTCGCAGATGACATGATACTCTACATGGAAAACCTGACTTGGCCAAAAAACTGCTAGAGCTGATATATGAACTCAGCAAAGTTGCAGGATGTAAAATCAATGTACAGACATCGGTTGCATTTCTATACACCAATAATGAAGTAACAGAAAGAGATATCAAGGAATCGATCCCATTTATAATTGCACCAAGAACCATAAAATACCTAGGAACAAACCTAACCAAAGATGTAAAAGACCTGTATGCTAAAAACTGTAGAAAGTTTATAAAGAAATTGAAGAAGACATAAAGAAATGGAAAAACACTCTATGCTCATGGATTAGAAAAACAAATATTGTTAAAACATTGATACTACCCAAAGCAATCTACACATTCAGTGCAATCCCTATCAAAATTGTACCAGCATTCTTCACAGGGCCAGAACAATCCTAAAATGTGTTTGGAACCACAGAAGACCCTGAATAGCCAAAGTAATGTTGAAAAAGAAAACCAAAGCTGAGGTACCACAATCCCAGACTTTTGCCTGTATTACAAAGCTGTAATCATCAAGACAGTATGGTGTTGGCACCAAAACAGACACATAGATAAATGGAATAGAATAGAGAACCCAGAAATGGACCCATAAGTATATGGCCAACTAATCTTTGACAAAGCAGGAAGGAGTATCCAATGGAAAAAAGACAGTCTCTTTAGCAAATGGAGCTGGGAAAACTGGACAGCAACATGCAGAAGAATGAAACTGGCCCACTTTCTTACACCATACACAAAAATAAATTCAAAATGGATGAAAGACCTAAATGTGAGACAGGAAACCATCAAAATCCTAGAGGAGAAAACAGGCAGTAAGCTCTTTGACATTGGTCATAGCACCTTCTTACTGGGCAAGGGAAACAAAAGCAAAAATAAACTAATGAGACTTCATCAAGGTGAAAAGGCTCTGCATAGTGACGGAAGCTATAAAACTAAAAAGGCAACCAATGGAATGGTAGAAGATATTTGCAAATGACATATCGGATAAAGGGTTAGTATCCAAAATCTAAAAAGAACTTAATAAACTCAACACCCAAAAAACAATCCAGTGAAGAAATGGGCAGAAGACATGAATAGATACTTTTTCAAAGAAGAAATCAAGATAGCAAACACACATGAAAAGATGCTCGACAGTGCTCATCATCAGGGAAATACAAATCAAAACCACAGTGAGATACCACCTCACGTTGGTCAGAATGGCTAAAATTAACAAATCAGGAAACAACAGATGCTGGTGAGGATGTGGAGAAAAAGGAACCCTCTTGCACTGTTGGTGGGAATGATACTCTACATGGAAAATCTGGCACAACCAAAAAACTGCTAGAGCTGATACAGTGGTGCAGCCACTCTGGAAAACAGTGTGGAGGTTCCTCAAAAAATTAAAGAGAACTGCCCTACGACCCAGCAATTGCACCACTAGGAATTTATCCAAAGAATACAAAAATGCTGATTCGGAGGGGCACATGCACCCCAATGTTTATAGCAGTGCTATCAGCAATAGCCAAATTATGGAAAGAGCCTAAATGTCTATCAACTGATGAATGGATTAAGAAGATGTGGTATATATATATAATGGAATACTTTTTGGTGATGAAAAAGAATGAAATCTTGCCATTTGCAACAATGTGGATGGAACTAGAGGATGTTATGCTAAGTGAAATAAACCAGTCAGAGAAAGATGAATATCATATTGTTTCACTCATATGTGGAATTTGGGAGGCCTTAACAGATGAACATAGGGGAAGGGAAGGAAAAATAAGATAAAAAGAAAGAGGGAGGCAAACCATAAGAGACTCTTAAATACAGGGAACAAACTGAGGGTTGATGGGGGAGGGGCGGTTAAATGGGTGACGGGCATTAAGGAGGACACTTTTTGCGATGAGCACTGGGTGTCATATGTAAGAGATGAATCACTGGGTTCTACTCCTGAAGCCAAGACTACACAGTACGTTAACTAATCTGAGAATAATAAAATAAAATAAAAATTTTAAAAAGAAAATAAAGATGGTTACTATGAAAAAAGATAATAAGGGAATACTATGAATAACTCTATGCTTGCAAATTTGATGACCTAGATGAAAAGCTAATCACTTGAAAGACACAACTTGTCAAAACTCACACAAGAGGAAATTGGCAATGTAAATAGACCTGTATCAAAGAAATCGAATCAATAAGTACTAACATTCCAAAACATAAAGCACCAGAACCAGATGGATCTACTGGTGAATTCTACCAAACATTTAAGAAATGATGCCATTGTCTGTAATCTCTTTAGATAATAGAAGCAGAGAGAATACTTTCTAACTTTATGCAGTCAGAATTATTCAAATGCCAAAATCAGACAAAGACATTAAAAGAAAGCTACAGACCATTATCTCTCACAAACATAGGCACAGATATCCTCAACCGAATGTTAGCAAATGACCAAGCACTATGACCATGTAAGATTGTCCAGATTTGCAAAGCTGGTTCAGCATTTGGAAATCAGTTAGTGTCATCTGTCATATCAACAAGCTGAACAAGAAAAATCACATGACCGGGGCGCCTGGGTGGCGCAGTCGGTTAAGCGTCCGACTTCAGCCAGGTCACGATCTCGCGGTCCGTGAGTTCGAGCCCCGCGTCGGGCTCTGGGCTGATGGCTCAGAGCCTGGAGCCTGTTTCCCATTCTGTGTCTCCCTCTCTCTCTGCCCCTCCCCCGTTCATGCTCTGTCTCTCTCTGTCCCAAAAATAA